TGTAATTTTTAGTTGGCAATTATACCTCAATAGAGTTATTTTTTTTTTAATGGTGGCTACTTGGAATTGCCTATCCTGAAAATCATCCTAAAATGCAATTAGTAAATATACCAGTGGATAGAGGCTCATTTTTAAGGCTATGTTTTTTAATTGAATATCATTTATTAAAGTTAAATAAAAGGTGAACTTTGAGGGTCAGCTTTTGGCTTTATATTTACAAGTTCACTGAGTTAGGAGATACTATGAAATTGGAGGCAAGCTATGGGCACAGTAAAGGTGTGACCAGTGGCAGATGATGGGAAAAGAATGGGATGCAACAGAGTGAGCATGTGCCAAAGAAAGCCTGAAGGCAAACAGAACTGAGCCCTTAAAAGGCACAGAGACCAGTATAAAATAGCTCCCTAGAAGACGTCCTCTAGAGGAGAAAGGACTGTTGCTGTTGCGGACACTGGAAGTCTGACCACGAAAAAGAAAAATTGGTGAGGCTGCTGCGGGAAACCTTCTAGGTGCCTCCATCACCCCGGATGGGTAATTTTTAGAGCAGTATATATGCGTAAGAACTTGGTGGTAACTAAGGGAAAGACGCAATAGTGATCATCACTCACTCCTTCAAGGGGCCTGAGGGAGAGAAAAGAGGGAATATCCAAGAGTGAATCATGACGATCCCCATGTCTAGTGTCCTAGGAGACGGTGTGGAGATGAAGGGAACAGGGGAATGAACAGAAAAGGACAAGTGGCTCTTCTACCAGCCGCAGAGAAATGGCCACAACTGTGTCTTAAACTGGAGGGGACCCCATACATATCAACAGCAAGGCTCTCCCAGGGAACTTGTAAGAGGAAGGAAATTGCCAACACACAGTAACTCAGGTTTGGACAACATAGAGAGCCCCCACTCTGGGGCCTGTGGGCCTGTTAGTGAGAGCACCGCCCTTTGGGGAAGTCAAGTCTCTGCTTCCTCTCGCAGGTGCTCCCCTCTCACAGAAGGGCACACCTCCCAAGGAGAGGCCCTGGAGCCTCCACAGGCCACAGAACCAACAAATCTTGTCCATACACCAAGCCTGGAACTTATTCTAGATCAGGTCGAAGGTGCTGAGAAGCATGACCTCGGAACTTGATTCTTACAGCCAGAGGGGGGGAAAAAACCAACACGTTCACTTAAACAGATACTATGCTTTTATCCAAACTGGAATATGCATTCATGTATATTTTCATCTTTGGAACAGGTGGTTTGAAATGCAAATAAAGTAATAAGTGTCAGAGCTGTATCCTAGCAGTAGCTACTCTGCAAACGTTACCATGGCACCGATTCAACAGTGTTCTTAGAAGCAGCCACACCTCAGCAAATTCTTTCTAACTTGGGACAGCAAAGTTCAAACGAACTAATAGACACACAGTGTGAAATAGACACAAACCGACAGAAGAGGTGAAACTTGACAGTCCAACTGCCGTCTGAAGCTACTTGAAACAGGGCCTAGAACTTAAAGAGGGAAAAAGAAGAAAATGGACCATCTCCCAGGACACCTGGCGTGTGATCCAAGCCTGGAGACAGAATGACGGTAATTATAACTGCTAGCATTTGTTTTTAGCTGCTAACAGATTGCACACAGATCGGGAAGGGCAAACTCCATCCTTCAATTACTCCGGTGCAAACTGTGCTTTAGCAGTACTCACTAAATCCTAGCGGGGTGGGAATAAAGCAGATTGCCCTCGTTTATGTTCAAGTAAGGCAAGCTGTCCTCCTACGGCTGCAGGCCAGGCCACTCACACCGATGACAGAGCTGGGTTATGCAGATCCCTACTCCCCACTGGCCTTCGATCTGCTCTGTGCAGGGCAAGAGGCACTTCCCAAGTGCAGACAGAGCAGAAGGACTATGTGAGAGGGACACAGGACGCTGGGGAAGCAAGTCTCAGCCAGCCCGGCCCGTGGCTAATCGTCTCCCAGGCAGGCCCTGGGCTAACCAGAGCATGTCTCTGCCTGCTTAGGAGAGAATGAAATGACAGATACCGAAAGTTAGCAATACGAGATAGTCTCTGATCAATGCCCGATTGATTATATGAACCACAAATTCTGTCAGAACTCAAAGGGGGCAGGAGTTCTTTCCTGCTCCCACTCCCACTTCAGATGAGGGAGATCAAAGAACACATCCCCCAAAAAAAACACACTGAAGAAGTGAAGACCTCGCCAGTAGGGGCCACCGTTGGTGGACACTAAAAAGCCATCAGCGAGAATGAAACTCTAGAGCTCCCTCCACCATGCAAGGGCACTAGTCCTCAAGACTTCCTTAAGGGCAGTGATGATACACCATTTATGGCTAAAATAGCCATAGGAGGGGAAGAGTGCAGAGGAAGGAGTGCTTGGGAAAGCAATCGGGACTTTCCATACTGCCTTTATCCTGAAAGACACAAAGACCTCTGCTTCCCAAAAGGGTAATTCTGGGACCATTATATAGAGTTAACTCCACCCATCCACCCAAAAAAGGCAGAAAAGGGCCCCTAAGTAATGCTTCCATAACATTTTAGCCAAACCAATCTGTAAATTTTCTGTGGGTGAATTAAAATTGTAATTTGAGTAGTAACCTGGATATCGGGTGTGCCACCCAATGGCAGGCCACATCCCGGACACAATATTCAAAAGAGAGTGAGACTTTGGGCTTGGTTTCAGCAAGTTTTGATATTCAGAGAGACCCAGTCCAATGAGGAAGACAGAAAGCAGGAGATGCTGGGAGAAAACAACGCTCAGGGTCAAGAAAGAGATGGTATTAGGTCCCAGGTGATTGGTCCATTGCCAAGGGTTAAGCAGGAAGAGTCCAAAGCCTGAGGAAAAGCTGTGTGAAGTCTAGGAAGTCCCAGGGCAGGAATTCAGTTGCAGCAGGAAAATACACTTAGGAGGAAGTGAGGCAACCCCCCAATCCTATGGACTAAGTCAAAATGACAGAGGTTAGGAGAAATCTGGATTATGATAGGTATGTGGTGGGCAGAATTATTGCAGAGGTGTTATGCATGAGGATGATGGTGACATGAGTAAAGTCACATTCCATCTAGAGCTGGATTGAGGCCCTAAAATATTTTCTGCCCAGGACAGGATTATATAAGTTACTCTGCAGGTTTCAGCCTGGAGATCAAAAAGCAATGATGAGGGGATCTGGGTTGAGGAAGACAGAGCTGATCAAAGTGTTTCCATAGGAGAGGCTGTCATAAATGCTTCTGAAATAAGCAATTAGATTTTGAAAAGTGAAAAATATACTTTCTTGCAATGATCACTTTATCTCTCTTAAATTTTCTGCTTTATCTGTTTTGTTGCCTGGATAAAATGTTAAACATAAAAAATGAAACCACATATACTAGAAGAAAATATAGGAAATATTTAACTCCTCTTTGATGGGAAAGTCTTTTCTAAACTCAATATTAAAAAATAAATCATAAGGATAAATATCAGGCCACATAAAAATGAAAAATTTGGTGCAATCAAAAATACCATCAGCACAAGTAAAAGGCCCTATAAACCAGGTAAAATATTTGCAACAAATATGGCAGCTAATATTCTTGACACATAAAGAGTTCTCGCAAATCAATAAGGGAAACCTCAAACAAAAAAAATGGGAAGGGATCAAATATATTTCACAAAGAATAAATACTACAGACCAATAAGCATGTGGAAAGGTGCTCAGCCTCACTAGGGATTGAAAAGGTACAAATTATAGCCACAAAGAGATGCTTAAATTCTCAAGTTGGCAAAGGGAATTGGTTATAAGTAGCAATGGAGGGAATGCAATAGAATTGGTACACTTTCCTAGGAAGCAATGTGTGAAAGTCTAACCTAATAATATGACTTCTAGTGATGTACATTAAAGACAATGAGACATAGAGATATGGAAGATTTATTTAAAGAAATATTCATCAAAGTATTATTTACAATAATAAGAGACAAGAACCTGAATGCTATAGTCATGTAATAAAACACTAATTAGCCATGAATATTGTGGTTTTTGAAGAATTTTAATAATGTGGGGGAAATGCTCATGACATAATACTAAGTGAAAACGCAAAATATAAAACATGGTTTTATTTATGTTATGCATAACAAACACACATAGCAAAAAAACTGAAGGGAACAGGCCTGTCAATGATAATGGAAAGGTAAACTGATACAAGCTGGCGTGAGTTTTTATTTTTCCTTTATGTATCAGTATCACACACACAAAAAATAATTCTACAAGAAACATGTAATTCTTGTATAATAAAAAGTTATTTTACTATATATATATATATATATTTTTAATATGTCTTTATTGATTTCAGAGAGAGGAAAGGAGAGGGAGAGAGAGAGATAGAGAGGGAGATAGAGAGGGAGATGAGAAAGTCATTCATCGAGCCCACAACCTGGGCATGTGCCCTGACCGGGAATCGAACCCCGATCACCTGGATCCCAGGTCGATGCTCAACCGCTGAGCCACGCCCAGCCAGGCAGGAATATTTTTTTAAAATATACATTTATTGATTTCAGAGAGAGGAAGGGAGAGGAAGAGAGAGGGATAGGAACATTAATGATGAGAGAATCACTGATCAGCTGCCTCCTGCACATCCCCCACTGGAGATCAATCCCACAACCCAGGCATGTGCCCTGACTGACCCCTCGATCTCCTGGATCCTAGGTCGATGCTCAACCTCTGAGCCATGCCGGCCAGGATGAAGGAATATTTTTTAAAGGAAAAATAATTACTCAAAGATCTCAGCTTTTTGTTTTTAACATCCCAGAAACTATATGAAATATCCTAAAGAACCATATGTGCTTTTAGAATAGTAAAGTTTCCAAAATGCTCTAACAAGACTCACCCCCTGAAAATAAAACTCTCAAATGTTGATGAATGTCTATCTACAACCCAAAGAATACTCACCTGGCACTTCTACAAGAAGTCTCTAGCAGCTGAATAGACTCCATGATCCTACTCCCAAAAGGATCACCACTCCAACTTATTGCCAATGATTCAAAGAAATAGCTGATTTGAGACACAAGCACACTCAAAACCCTCTGCACGATATGTTAGACACTATCATATTCAGAAAAGAGACAAATGAAGAACATTATGCACAAAATGCAAAACCCGTTTATTCCTTTGGACACTCCTAAACAAGTGTCATCCAGATAACCCTAGGACTTGCACTGATATTACTAAGAGCTAAGTGTTTATTGAGTCCTTACTTGTGTCAGGCATGTAATAATGCATCGTACATTTATTCTGTCATTCAATCCTCAAGACAATCTTATGAGGTAGGAACTATTCTTAGCCTCATTTTACAGACAAGGAAGCTGTGGCTCCCCAATGTTAGATAACTTGCCAAAAATCACTAAGCTGGTAAGTGGCAGAGCCCTGATTTGAAACAAGGCCGTCTGTTTCCAGGACTTTCACCATTAACCCATTTGCTCTACCGCCCCAGAATCTATGAAACAGGTACTGTGTGATGCCTTTCTCTTTGGTCTCCTCCCCACTCCCTAGGAGTCCCAATAAAGATGCATCCCGAGCTTTCTAATCTATAGATATATGTCATTATCTCTTAGACCCGAAGATGCTACCATGGTTCTCACGCCCCCTGCTTTAAAGAAAAATGATTCAGTAAATTCATGCACTGCCTTTAGTTCCTCCCTCACTGGTTTTACGTGTATTTTCCCTCCCTTGGTTAGGACTGCAGCTAGACGGCAGTAACACCAGCGATGGAGCCGTTACACGAGGAGCACCTAGCCAACCGTGGAACAATAGTGAAGCCTTATTACTGGCTGAGCTTCTCTCTAGACTGCTCCGACTGTCCTTACCACATTCGGACAGGTGAAGAAACAAGGGTTTCCTACTCAGAATTCCATCAGATTTTTGGATTCCCTTATGGGCCAACATGTCCTCAAACAAAACACCTCACGTTCTATGAACTGAAAACTTCTACTGGGAGCCTGGTGCAAAAGGGTCACGCTAGCAGCTGCACGGCGAACACCACCCACCCGGAGTCAATGCTATTCGAGACCAACGGCTACCTTGACTGGGCCATGTGCAATAACAAGGGCATCAGGCATATCATCCTGTACTCCAGCAACTCCCCCTGCAATGAAGCTGACCACTGCTGCATCAGCAAAATGTACAATTTCCTGGTAGCTTACCCGGATGTCACTCTGAGTATCTACTTCTCTCAGCTCTATCACACTGACCCTGAGTTTCCTGCCTCGGCGTGGAACCGCGAAGCTCTCCGGAGCCTGGCTAGTCTATGGCCCAAGGTCACCTTGAGCCCAATAAGTGGCGGGATCTGGCATTTTCTCCTCAACAACTTTGTGAGCGGCGTCTTGGGATCGGCTGTTTTCCAGCCCATCTTACCCGGGAGGGCGCTGGCCGACAGGCACAACGCGTGTGAAATCAACGCCATTACAGGGGTGGCGCCTTATTTCACTGATGTGCTTCCTCCGACAAAAGAGGGTCGGGACATGAGCGCTCAGGCAGCTTTCGAGAGCTACCACTCCAGCAGTGCCTTTCCGGGACAGTCTCCTCAAACGACAAGCGGACAACCACAACCCAGCCTGGCACCAGACCTCAGGGTCCCTGTCGTCTTTGTGCTGGTGCCTTTCAGAGACCTACCGCCAATCCGAGTGGGTCAAAACCCATATAAACCCAGGAACATTGTGAGGCACTTAAATATGCCTCAGATGTCACTCCAGGAAAGCAAGGACCTCCGAAGGCCTCCGCTCACAGTGCCGGTGGGGACAGTGGAGATCACAGAACAGTCCCTAAGTAGCGACAAGACAGATGAAAGAAAGAGGAAAAAGAAAGGGAAGAAATAAAATCTGCATTCCTACAACATAAGACCAAACAGCTACCAGAGGACTGGTAAGATAGCCAACAAAAATCTGGAAACTTTCTCTCCTGGGTATGACCCAAGATGGAGATAAAATGATAGACTAAAGGCAAAACCTGAATTATTCACCATCTCAACTATTATAAAGCTACACTATTTTAAACATAATCCAAAATGTTTTCCATAAGCAACTTAATATCTTTCCTTTATTTTGAAAATGACAGTGTCAAAGTGGAGCCATCAGTACCTTGCTCATATTTTGGTGTAAAAAAGAAAATGTCATTATTCCAGTCTCCCCATATCATCTTTCCACTAAAAAAGCTGATGGACTAAATAGCTTCCTAAACTGGTTTTAGTATAAAAATTTACTATAAAATTGGGAAACAGCCTGAATTTACTGGCATTCAGGGCTGTTTGCAAAAGCAAACCAGTGAATTTCCATTAATTGTTCATTGTGGACAGAAGATTTTAGGCAGCCCTTTTTTTTTTTTTCCCTAAAGTGATTCAAAATAGTTTTGTGTGGGGGTAAAAGCTCTTTTGCTAATTGATTAGCTATAGCTACAAAAATTGATTTTTGAAATGTAGCCACCTGCTCAGCTTGATCTTTCCCAGCTCAGACTTCTCCCTCCTGAGCAGATGATAGAGGCACGATGACACATGAGACTCTCCAAAGACTCCTTCCATCACACATCATGTAACAGCCAAGTTACTCTTACTGGCTTTCAAGGCTCCTCCTCTACTTCTCTGTTGCCCTGTCTCATTAGCAAGATTATAAGTTCCTATAGGCCAAGTGCAGTCTCTTTCACTTCTTTAGTTTCCTTTTAGGATCTAGCACAATATCCAGGCAAAATATGGTTAGCAAAGCTCTGAATCTACATCTCAAAACTTTACCAATCCCTGGAATTTATTCTCCATTCCAGCCAAGTGGCCTTAACTCTCCTGCAATGGACATATTTTTTATTGTTAGCATCCATTCCCCCTTCTTCTGATATAGCTCCCAGTGCAAAATTGGTTTTACTTCCCTTTTTTCTGACCACTTCTTTTTAACCAGTGCATATCTTATATCTTCTCTTAAACTCTTGTTCAAAACACACTTCTATGAAGTGCTCTTTGACTAACCCTCTGAGCAGGTACATTAAACCACTTTGCTTATATTCCATTAATTCACATTTGCTGCCTCACTTCCCTCTTTAAAGAAAAGAAAAATGTTTAAAATAGGAATTTATCTTGTGATTAAAATAAATAAAAATTTTAAAAGAAATTTCTATTGTTAAGCTTAACTTTTTAATAGAATTATTGGAATATAATTGTATTTGGGGTACATAGTAATTATTATTTAAGGAGGTACTTTTTAATTTTATTAGATCATAAAATCATGTCTACAATTTGGTGTTTAGAGTTGAAAAAGACCCCAACATGACAAATTCAGCATCTCTGATAACTATAAGAATAGATCCAGGTGGGTGACTCGGCTACTGGCGTCAGCAAGTCTGGGAGGCCTCGGATCCAGCTCTGAAGCTTCTTTCAGTGGGAGAGACCTGCCCACCTTGTGGGCTCCTCAAAAAAAAAAAAAGAGTAGATCCAATTAGTTGCCATGAAATCTGTCTCCAAAGTGGTCAAGAAGACTACAATATCAATCAGGCTATGAAAGATCTAGTTAGAAATACATTCTGAAATTTGTGATGAATTTGTATTTCAAATGTGAACCTGGATACCAATGGTATATAACAACGGAAGAGATGTGGCCAGAACTATAGAAAAGAAAAGTGCTTGGAGCAGTTAAACTTTTGCACTGGTTAGTTAAGACTGGGGCTAGGAAGAAGAATGTTACTGACAGGTCATGAGTTCAGGCCAATATAGTCAAGACTTAGACAAGAGACTATTAAGAGAGCATAAAAATACATGGCCCTAGGCAAGTAGTTTCTATTTCCTGATCTGAAAAACAAGAGAAATGCACAAGATCATCTTTAAGGTTCCTTTCAGCTCTATCTGCTCTAAAATGGCATTTATCAGAATAATAGTTCGATGGAGTGATTAAAAGCACAAGCTTCAGAATCTGACAGTCCTAATTCCCATGCCATTCTGCTACTTGCTAGCTGAGTATCATTGGTTGAGTTACCTCATCTCTCTGAGCCTTAATTTTCTTATCCGTAATATGGGAACACTAATTCCTAGGCCCTAGAGCCACTCTGAGGATTAAATAATATAAGTACAGTAAAAGGCTTATTAACCAAGTGTCTAACAAACAAACATCCATCAAGTGTTTGCTATTATTAATAAAATTTTAACAGGATGATAGATACAAAAGGATAGGAATTGTAAGATCTTTCAAAGTCTATCAAAACTATAAGTCTGATGACTATTTTCTATAAGAAGTAAAAGTATGTTTCTAGAATTTGTGACAATCAGGTTTAGAGGAGAAAAAATGTTGATTTTAATATTTTGCTTAAATAGTTAATAGTAGCGATGAGAAAAACCATATATGTCTATGGTCATGGAAGAAACTAAAATAATTATATGAAAATATTTTTTGCAACTTCTTGCCAATAAGTTGAGAATCTAGATTAAATGCTTGATTTACTAAGAAAATATAAATTCTAAAATTGACTAAAAAGAGAAAGAAAACCAAACAAGTCAATAACCACAAAAGATAAATATGGTCAAAGATCTACCTCTAAAAATATTAGCAAGCCCAGATAATTTTGTAAGCACATTCCATAACTTTCAAAGAAAAAATAGCACACCAACTTTTCTGTTATTCAAACTATTCCAGAGCATAGGAAAAAAAGAAAGAAAAAGGTGGAAATCTTCTCAATTCATCTTACAAAGCTAGACTAACCCTAATATTAAAACAAGATAAAGACAGCACAAATAAAACTATGAACCAATCTGTCTTATACATATATCATATAAACAAAACAAACACTAATCAAATCTAGCAAGCTATTAAAATAGTAACCAAATAGAGTTTATTCTAGAAATGTGGGAATGGTTTAGTGCAGAAAAATATATAAATGTAATTCATTACATTCATAAATTAAAAGATCAAAAATTACATGATTTTTATTAGATTTTTAAAAAAGCATTTGATAATTTCAGTCATTATGCCTAACGATCATAAAGCAATAGAAAATATTAACTGGTAAAATACCACAGACATTTCCATTAAAATAGAAACAAAGAAGAAAGGCCTACTATCACCCAATTTTTTAACACTGTTGTGGGAGTTTAGCTAATGCAATAAGGTAAGAAAAATAAAAGCGATATAGATAATGGAAAAGAAGATGTAAATTATTATCTCAAATATTATGCTTGCATACTGTGACAAGAAATGTAACCTTAAAGCAACTGTTAGCATTAATAACAGATCCCAGTAGTGGGAAAGAATATGGAATAAGTAAATTTGCAAATCCATAGCTTCCCTTTATATTATCATAAGCAGGTAAACAAATTATAGAAATATAGTTCCCATTCACAAAAATGTTTGACACACAAGGTTCATTCTCTCATTTAGCACTAAATTTTTTCCTGAGACAAGAGTACAGATTTAAATTTTTTTAGTTTTTGAAGTACTAATATATAAAGAAATAAAGGTCTCATTGCAAAATAGTTCATCCTATTACTCCACCTTAATGTGTAATCATAAAATTGTGTAAAGCTAAAATTAATCACAAAGAAACAACTTGAAGTTTGAACCAGTTCATTTGGACATTAAGTAAAAACATTAAACCATAATATAGTGTATGAGTAACATGCTAAAAATATTTTTCTATTATAGTAATTATGTTGCTAGAGAACCATGAAATTAAATCATCATTACCAGAACTGAAATTTATTTATTTATTTTATATTTATAACATGCATTTGACATATCTGATTAACACTGAGTTCACTGTCATTTCAAATAATAATCCTGCCACGCTGCAGGATTCAAGGTCTTGAATTGTTAAGGACTGAGTGGCAAGTGTGGGGGAAAGAAGCTCTTTGTAGATAGAGTACTTGGTTTAAAATATATGAAAGGGAAAGCCTATTATAAAATAGTTTTATCAAAACCTCTTCTAACTAAAAAGGTCATTTGCTGTTTGCATCATCACAGAAAATAAGAAGAAGCTATATACTATCATGCAGCATTAACCTCAAGGAAATTCTCATTCAGTCTTACTTCAGTATTGAGCCAAACCAGGTTATTTGCACAATAAATAAAATGTCTTAAAACTTTATGTATCCTTTATTTCAGGGATAAGCATTTCTTTGGAAAGTTAAAATAGGGAGAGTAATATCACCTACAATGAATGAAGTAACATGTTGTAATTTGCAAGGAAGTGGAATAATGTATAATTTTCTATTTAAAAGATAATCAAGGGCAGGTTTCTTCACATACACACAGAAATTTCCTTAATGCTTTAAAGAGGTAATTAACATGTTTATTAAGAAATACTCAATTTTTGCATATGAATCCAAAATTATTTTGTTAGGTTATTAATTCATTAAATAAAAATGTTGATTATCTACTATGTACGAGGTACTTAGTGTGAGACAATAGAAAAGACTGCATTGGAAAAACACATTTTTTGGCATTATTACATTTCACATGTAATATGCATTATGTTGCTGAGAATTAATTGTATTTAACACATTCAACATATGGAGCAAAATTCTGAGCAATCAAAACAATTATACCCTTAAACAACTCAATTTTTTAATTCCCCTCACTATTCCCTTAAGTTGATTTCTACTCCGGGATTCTTTCCCAATTCTAAAATGAGATAATAAGGAAACCTCCTAAGTAAGACCTAATACAAAAGAAGAGAAATGTAAGAGAAGGGATGTATTAGCTCTTCCATTTGCTCTCAATAGTGCTTCTAATGTTCAATTTTCTCTTCAAAAAAAAAAAACCACCTTGATTTAGAAGAACAAAAAGTGCAATTGTTTAGTTCTTACGAAAGTTAGCAAAAAATTAAAACTGAAAAAAATATTTAAAAATCTTTATTCTGAGTTATATAATGTCATTCACCAAAGTAATTATCTGATACTTTACTGTAAGACTTTTTAAAATAAAGACTACCAACAGGTAGAAAATGTTCCTTTGCTGTCTTAAGATAGTCCTTGGGGGAATTTTTTTACCGGCATGTTTGTCCATAACTTGAATGTTAATTTAAAGAAATGTTGCTTCATCACCTAAATGATATATCTTATAAAAGGGTAATTTAATTGGGAAAAGAAAAATGCCACATCGCTTCTTCCACCCAAGAAGAGAAAATGCATTCCTGAGGGTTCTCTGTCTCTATTTCTCTCCACCTCTCTCTCTCTATATATATATATATGTATGTATTATATACATATATACATGCATACATATGTATGTATACACATATACACATATGCATGTTCCTATGTCCAGCAAATATTTGATACTGAGATTTTTTTCCTTCTTTTTACCGGTCCATTAATCTCAGTGCGTTTCTCAAACTGTCGTG